TTAAATGAATAAAATTATACAGTAATAATCTTCCTGTCAGCTTCTTTTCTTAAATATCCAATATCCTTTGAATCGAGCGTTTCCCTAAATTCACCATTCACCAAAGGATCATTTGATGAATTTCTTGAATGGCACATTTTTTGGCAACATGCAGAACCGCAACGCATGCAACAGCAACAGGTAATTAGCAATAAACAACATAATATCTGGAATATCTAATGTACAAAATATCACTATCTGAATAATATATATTTTGAGTATAAATAAAAATCAATTGTTTTAAAATTTCAATTAATTATTTAATTTAACTCCAGAACATATAAAAATGAAATACTTCATTATATTGTAGCATCAATATCAATGTATTGCAAGTTTACAGTTATAAATATTCAAAAATGAAAAATAATAGATAAAATATTTCTCTTAATTTATGAATGTTCCTGCAATTAAAATTATACAATTTTAATTATTAAAATTTGATTATTTAAATTTAAATAATTAAACGAACCACTGCAGCAGCTAATATAAATGGAATGATGCCGGTAGTGCTAATATTAATGAATGATGAAACAACAGGTGTTTTACGTTGCATACAAATAAATTGTCGCCGTTCATCGATATCATTACGGATCACGTAAGTTGTACCACACGGAATTTCGCATGCGCTCTCACAATCAGTTAAATTATCATAATGATAAATTTCTGCAAATTAGTATTAATTTAACATTTTTCTAATGAGTTAAATCAATTTTTTTTTAAATCAAAAAAATGTTAAATGAATTTAATAATTCTTTTCTTTTTTTTTTGTTCAATTCTAATAAATCTTATCAATTTTCTTTTTTTGACTTCATTGTTTGCAAAAAACAAAAAAAGGTATAATTCGTAATTAATTAGCTTTAATTTTATTTCAAGAGTTATTTAGATCGTTCAATCATAATTCTTATCAATTTTTGACTGCATTATATTGGCAGTACTTATAAAAACAAAAAAAAATGTATAGTTCATATTTAATTAGCTAATTGTTAATTTTGTTTTAAAATGAAATTCGAACATTTAATATACAGCAAAAATTATTTTCATGCGCATTTGCATCAATTAAAAACTTACTAATCACAAATTATTCAGTTCATTTTATTTCATTTCTTCTTATTTTAATTCTTCCTATCGTTGCAAAAGTTTGCTTTGAAATATTAAGTAAGTTGAAATTATAAGCATTAACTCACTCATAATTCTATGCGTTCCATCACGTTCACGAATTAAACCGTCTCTGTTGGCTAATCTTCGAAGATAAGATGGCGACGATAATGATGATGACGATGATGACGATGATGATAATGATAATGATGATGATGATAGTGATGATGACGGATAATGAAAATCATAAAGATCACCTAATACAGTAATAATTAAAAAGAATAACCACCACTGCAAGCATAACCATCGTTGGTAATACATCTGAAATTTTAAAATTTGCAATATATTATTGATTAGCAAAAAAAAAAAAATTTGCAGTGATAAAAAATGTACCTAACGCTCACAATAAATCGTAGAAAAAAAAATTATTATATAAAATTAGATTTTAAAACTGAAATAATTCAAATAATCAATTATAGAATGAATGAAAAATATATTCAAAGAGCAAAAAAAAAAGAATTAGAAAGAAAACCAAAACAAAAATGAAATATTTGCTTAAAAATTCGAAATAATATTACACAGACAATTATAATTCAATATTACTACTAATCAAATTTATCGAAATTGAATAATTATTAAATTTCAATGTAAAAAATTTCAAAATCAAATAACCAGTTAACTTTTAACGTGATAAATTTAATCGATTTTTAAATATTTAAATTTATTTATTCATCTTCTCATCAATATCTCCTCATTTTCATAAACAATAGTATAAGCACAAAACAACAGCATTTTATTTTATGCACTTTCTTAATTTCATCCATCCATCCGTCATCTATCAATCAAACATTAAACAATATAAGCAAACATTTTTACAGCCAACGATAACAATGATAGCAAGCTTTCAACAATCGAAAACTTTTGCATTTTATTTTGATTGATAATTTTTCTTTCACACGGAAAACAAAAAAGAAACGATTATATTTTAAAAGATTTCATCATTGATATTAGTCATAAAAAGTTAAAAATTCAAGTTAAAAAAGTACAAACTCTTCAATTCAGATAAGACAAGAAATTATAACTTTTTTTTTTTAATCAATAGTTTATCAAATTTTGCAAATAAGAATTGTAGCTTAGCTCTCTTAATGTGATCAGGTAGGCTAATTGCCTTCCAAAAATTCATAAAGTTTTGTCTTCCAAAAATTTGTAAATAATATATTCTAATTGAATAATACGATAGTAATGATGATTGTTATCATTATTTCTAATTTATAACTATTATTGTTATTGCCAATATTATTATTACTATTGCTATTCTATTGCAATTGTGTTTTTTTTAGACGAATTTTTGCAAAAAAAAATTAACTAATTTAAATAATAAACAAAATTGGAATTATATATTTGTTTTCTTATTGTGCTTAAGCAACAAGGAAATATCTCAATTTTTTTTTTTAAAAAATGTTTTTTTTTTACAATATTCTCTTTTTACAATATTTTATTTTAGAGCAAATTTATAAGCTTCATTTGGATTGGAAATGTTATTGTGCTAAAATAATGAGTGAAATTTTAAGTGAAAAGTGATGTGATATGAAATCAGTTAATTAGCAATTCAAAATTTTTTTAAGTTGAATTCAGATAATGGACTCGTTCTCCTTCTTTTTTCTACATAATACCATTTTAAGTGCATTTTTCGATTTAAACTGTTAAAGCATTTTCAATTTATCCTCACTTACATCATTAGCAACGAATTATTTTGATCATTTGATAAATTTTATAAATTTGTTACACATTAAAAGCTCATAGATCTATCTTTCCAGAAGAAATTCACAAAATTATTTAATAAATGAATTCCATTTAGATTGTCATATCAATCTAATTGTTAAATTGTTCAATTTTTAGATAAAGAATTTATCTAAAAATTCAATGCCGAAAAAAAAGCGGAAAATTATTACTCATTCGACTAATTCTCCTTTTTTTAATCATCTTTTGTTAAATGATATCAAATAAAAGATATCAAATTAAAAAAAAAATGCTTGCATTGAAATGAAAAGAAGAAAGAAAGGAAGCAATGATATCTGTCATGAAATCCAAAAATATTAATAAGATAATTTGCTAAATTGCTTTCCAATTACCATCTTTTTTTGTTGTTAAAATGCATACTAGAACAGTTTGAAATTGAATTACAAAATTAAAATTTGCCATAATTTTTTTTTGTCTTATTATCAACAAAAAGAAAAGAAATCGGCCGTTTATATTAATTAATAATGCGAATATATTGGAAATGAATAAGAAGAGAAGAATGAGATTGAATTGGTTATTGATAGTTCTCTATAAATATTTCAAATATACCTTATAAAATGTACTCTTTTTTTATACCACCAATACAAATAGTAATATTAATCATTGATTTATAATTTTAGATGAAAACGATTAAATTAACATAATTCCACAAGAGTATGATACCGCGAAAGTAATTTTCATCAAAAAAAAAAGAAGTAAATACTCCAAGAATAATTGTATAATTGTAAATAATTGTTACATCACTTCTCTTTCTTTTAAAAAAGTCAAAATACTAATTTCATTGCAATTATTATTCGTATTAGCTTAAATCAAGTTTTTACTATTTTGTTTACTTTTATGATTAAAGGTCACCTTTAAATATTTTTAATATATATATAAATTTTCAAATGTACTAAAAGATATAAATCATAATCGTTGATAATATATCAATCGTAAAGCTACTAGAATAAATAACTTATATTTAAAATTAACATTTAAAAAAATAAACAAATTTAAAATTAATATTTAAAAGTAAGAGCAAATAAAATAATATACATACTAAATCATTTTATAATTTATGTTAGAAAAATGACAGTTGAAATTTACTGCAATACTTTAAATGCTAATAAAGATACATTATTATCTCTGTTTCATCTGATAGTTTATAGCGCTTGTCAAGCTCTTTTTTTATTTTAGCATAATGCAGCATATCACCGAATTTCAAGCATAGCATAAAATAAGCATAATTAAAAATTTTAGAGCACAATTTCATCAAAATCGGCACATCTTAAACTTCCAGTACGAATACATCAAAATGATATATTCCAAATTTTTTGAGTATTGTTTTATTTCAAATCGGTTACAATTTAAATTCAACATTTCTAATCCCGTAAAAACAATTCATCTCATAACGATACATTCGAAATTTTACTTCCTATGCATTCAAGGCCATCCTGAATTAATGATTTCATTTTTCGCCGTATCCTTCAATGTTAAGCAGCATTGATAAATTAACGCAATTGTGGTTGCCGATGAAATTATATCGTTAAAAAATACATTCCAAATGAAATAAAAAAATTTTAAAAATGCTCTCTCTCTCTCTCTCTCTCTCTCTCTCAAAAAAAGGAGCCATATTTGGTTCAGTGTTATTATTCCTTTTCTTTAAATTCGGAAGGTATAATGTGACAGGTTATACTAAAAAAAAAAAGAATTATTGGAAGAGTATAGAAGCAAACCGGATGAAAAATATAATGATACCATTTGAAGAGATCAAAAAAAAAAATTATAACCGTAAAATAGAAATGAGCTAAGTTGACAAGCGTTATAATCTATCAGATGAAAGAGAAAAATCTCAATGCTTGTAAAAAAAAAAAAAGAGATAATAATGTATATGGAT